TAGTTTTTTTGGCTGGGCCCTTTGGACCTCAGCTAAAAGTGAGCCAGACAAATGAGCGGTCACAATCGGCAGCATTGCCTCCTGTCCCAGGTTAATCGCTGTCTCAACCTTGTAGGCTGGAAGGCAGCCATCCTCCTTGATCTTTCTCAAGTAGGAGCCCATAGACGGGGGCGTTACCGTCTTCACCATCAAATGCTCCACGGCTTCATCTGTCTTGTCACTGGGGAACAAAACGCCAGCGATTCTCCGACGCACCAAGGCCTCTCCCAACCGAGGTCAGGAACTCCTGAAGACTACAGCTCCAACCGACAGAAACGGCCCATTGGTTCAAACGCGACCACATCACCTCCGTCCGCCCTTCAAGGATCGCCACATCGAAAACCTCATGGTCCAGGTACTGGCCCAGGTACTGGGTGAACTCTGCCACTTTCCTGCCCTTTGGGTCGGGGCCGATGGTGCCTCAGCGGCCCTCAGTTCGTTCCTCAGCCCTGCGATGACGGCACTCCACCCATTGGCAATTCCCCGAAACCGCTGCAACTCCTTCAATGGCAGGTTCTTGTTGCCATAGTTGAAGTGCGACTGCGCCAACAAGTAGGCTCCTGGAAGGGACATCTTCTCCAAGTCGGCATCGATGGTGAGGCCCCAGACAGTTTGTTGGTTGCTGAGCTGCCCTTCCTCCGCATCCTTCAACTTATTGATGGCCTTCTCTCCCAGCAGCTTCACCACTGCCCATTCATAAGACCTCACTGGACACCCAGGGCCGTAGTCCAATCATTGGCTCAATGAGGACCATATCGTCGACCAGGATTTTCCCACAGAAGTGCGCCTCCCCGTCTCGTCTGCCATGAAGTGGTCGTAGATTGCGGTGGACCTCCTCCGTGGCCCGCCCCCATGCTCCTCCTCGTACACGAACTCCCGGCCGTTCCACCCATAGGGTTGTCGTCCACCAGTTTTTGAGAGGAGCGGCTGTGGTTTTGCCCCCCCCCCACCAAAGTATGGACCAGAGTCTCCACCACGGCCCGCACGAAGTTGGGTGCATAGACTCCTGCTCCGGTGCATCTGGAAACAGTGACCCCCGGTCGGCTGCCCTTGAGCGCCACATGCTGGTGCGTCTCCGAAACCCCCGGACAGAGGCGGAGCAAAGCCTGACGAAGTGGAGGATGATGAGGAAAGGCGAGGCCCGTCCGGCGCCGATAGAACTGGCCCTCCGTACCCGGTGGCCCCAGGCCGAAGGCACACATGTCTCGATCTCAATGAAGTCAACGTCTGGCCGTTGGAGAAGCCGTCGCCATTGGGGTAGATGCCATTGCTTGGGGTACCTGCCCGATGTCCCAGAGCTCTTGGCGATAGGGAACACCTTGCTGCATGGACTTCTCGAAGACGAGCTGGATTCTGAAAGGTCCTTGTTCCCCCATTCTGGAGGCACCAGTCGCAGAAAGTGGTGCATGGGCTGGCAATCCATTGCACATTGGATTCTAGCTGCTCCAGCTTGTCCAAGTAGTGCTTCTGCCTGTCTGGATTGGCCAAATCATGTTCAGGTCGCGGACCAAGCTGTTGGTGAGGCTGCTCAAAAGTTCGACGGGTTCAAGGGCGATCATCCCAGCGTCTTTCCACCCGCGGGATGACCCCATGCCCAGCGAAGTACTCCCTCAACACCAGGCCGGTGTGCCCTCGCGCTCCATGAACTGTCGTCTGGCCCCTCCCCGGCCATACACTGAGACAGGGCTGGCAAGCAGGCGGTTTTCCTCAAACATCCATACATGTCTGGACCCTCCTTGCCTCCTCCTTTCCTGGTCTTGCAATGTCTGCGCGCAATGATTGCCGGGGCGCTTCGCTTGGTCGTGACGCTGGTGCCAAAAGTACCTGAACCCGAGGCACGGAGTATGGTAGACCTCCTTCCTGGCCAGCGCTTCCCCAATGGTCTTTGAAGGAGGCTGCAACAAGGTCATGTGGCCCTTGGAGATCATGACCCACACATCGTGATGTGTCCACTGGCTGCCAACAACCGTCTCCAGTAGGAGGTCACCTTTGTAGTCCGCCCTGACCACGATGATTCTAATCTCCTCGAGGGCTGCCAATGGGGAGACGGCAGCTCGATAATCCTTGTCATGATGTGGTTTGAGGATGTCGTGAGCATACATTCTAAGCTCATGCTCGACTGGGGCTACCTTCGCCTCAGGATGGCCCATGACCCCCTCTGCTTCAACTGCCAGTCGTGCTTGCTCCAAGCGAAAAAACTCCTGGGACAGCCTTTCCACATCCTCCAGGCCCGGTGCCCTCTCCGTTTGGGACATAAGCAGCCCAGCTGCAAAGACCTTGGTGACGCCTTGGCGCTTCTCCTTCTCCGGCTCAACAACTGCCGCCTCCTCGCGCTCGGACTCGGATGCATAGTCCTTCAACTTCTTAGCCGTCTGATCCGCCTTCGAGAAGAACCAGCCCATCAGCCTTGATCCTGACCGTTGGGCCCCAGCTGCAGTGGACATCAGGTGGAACTTCTCAGGATTCAGCTGTCGGGCTAAAACGTAGCTCTTGAAGTGCTGTCCATCTTCAGGGCAACTATCGTGTCGACAAAGGTGGACCCTCTCATAGCCTTTCAAAGCCAACAGCAAAGGGGGGTCACCCCGCGTCGCCTCGGGATCGAAGCTGAGATACATCCCGCTGGATTTGATGGCCGCATTCTCTGTGACCTTGACGATGACCACATGTCCATCACGAACACCTCCTGCCAGTCGTTGCGTATAGAAGGCCACCCGACCGCAGCACCTCACGCATGCTCGTACAAGCCAGACCAGGGTGAGGATCGTTCCGATGAGGAGGGAGCATAGGGGCCAAGCCAGGGACAGGAAGTAGTGGAGCACCAGGCATACCGCCATCAAAGTAGCGACTCGCAGGATCATCGAACATCCTGTGCGCACCTGGATCCAGTTCTGTCCAAACACCAGCCAGCCAACTCCACTCAGCAAGGTGTCCAGGACCGTTCATATGATGCTGTCCCACGTCGTGAGGGAGTTGTACTGCAGCTGGGCCGACGCCATGGTGGCGTTCACCTTCTGCTGGAGGCACACGAACGGCTCTGCCCAGCAGGTGCCGTTGGGTCGGTGGTCATCCTCCTCCTCGACCGGATGCCACCACCCTTGGCTCGGGCCGACTGTCCAGCCCACCAAAAAGAGGCCCCATCGCCACCGCACCATGGCCCCGCCCAAGGTGCGAAAAAAAGGCTTGGGCCTTAAAGCTACCAACCACAAGGTCAGCATGCCAGCCCAAAAGTAACGGTTTGGAAAACCTGCAAAAAAATTGGATTCCATATTCTAACTGTCTGTCCTACATTGTAAATACATTGACTTGCACACACACGCAAAGCATAATTTGCCAGGGATCGGTTCGCTGTTCATACACAGGTTAAAGGCCAGAAAAGCAAAGATACACTACACATATTGTCCCCTTTACCTGGCATCCAACCTTCTTCTCTTCTTTCGCCTCTGCTGACAGCTGTCCCACCCATACACACCATCTGGCACACATCCACTCACACCATCTAAAACCATCTTACGGGCATCGACTTGTATACACCCCTTTACACTACACATGTGTCTGTATCTGGTCTTTGCATATATAGACGGTTTGATATTTTACCCCCGTCTCACAACGAAGAATAATCCAAAACTATCATGGTCCAGGTGGTGAGTCCCGACTATGCACCTGCCAGAAGCGGCCTGAAGTCTTTGTCATGGCATCAGCGGCTTCCTGTTTGTTCCTCCTGTGTGTCTGTGCATCAAGTTTGTTGCAAATTCTGATTGAAATAACTTGCTCAAAGCCGGTCTGTTGAGTGTTAGACATTCTCACAATCGAGACTAAACGTTCAGCAACTGCCGTGTCTGAAATGCTGCGTGACCTCGACTCAAGCAGGACTACTATCTTGGAGTAGCCCCACAGTGACATTCCATATATCAACTGCTTGGTTTGAAGCACATAGGAAAGCATTTGAAGCTGTTTGGAAGGGCTGCATTGTCTTCATGCTTCAGTGGCAACCAGTGACGGAACTTTGGTCAAAGCATTCATGGATTCTTAAGTGTTTTAAGTGGCTCAAGAATAAGCTCGGCATGATGGTCGAGGAGCAGCGACGTTGGTGCGTAAGCGCTGAAACATTCACCCTGCCAGTCAGTTCAGTCAGTCATGAGCAATCGGTGTCTTTACACCCTTCCGCACACATCTTCTTCACTTCAGAAGCTTTGTGCACCAAGAACTTCAACTTAAACTATGTTCTCTGGGCTATGCGATCCTGAGTATGGGTCCCTTGGATCACTTGGATGTGGATCAAGGTACTCTCGCAAATGACAGCATTGAAATTGAGGGCCCAGCTGGCTGCTACTTCTGTAGCAGTTCAGCATACGCTTGAAGTACCTGTCTTTGCAGCATTCCCCAGGCTTAAACTTTACCAGCACATTTGAAAACCGTGCACATTCAAAGTTGCAACAAAATTAAAACTCGATATGTCCGATACGTGCTTTGCTAAATAAAGAAATACCGTGACATCCAAAAATTGAAGAACCTTAGAACTGTATATGTCCATGCTCAAAAAGCACTCAACAAGCAACTTCACCGGATAAAACTATAAACTATAAACATCAGTCATCTCCATTCAACCTTTCTGTAGCGTGTGGCTTTGGAGCTCTATTTACAGTATCTGTTCGAGGCAAACTACCGTGCAAGCACCAACAAAGCCCCGAGGAACAATGTGTTGAAGGCCACGACAGCAGTGGTGACCAAGAACAGCGCAGCCATTCCGGCGATGTTGTCGGATAGCGAAAGGCATCAGGCACATCTGCACATGAATGTGTTTGTTGTGGAAGTGCAACTCCACAACCATATTTCTTGTGCTTGCAAGCATGTACACCGGATTCAAGGGTCCGTGAACCCTGTCTGATTTATCCAGAATGGAAACTGATAGCGTAATTGGTTCACGTGTATATTGTTCCGTGCTGGATGCGGCTGTGGAAGCGGCGCATATTGCTCTCAAAGTGGGAGAAAATGTCCAACTTTCTGCGAAGTGTCAACACTTGGACCTGAGTGACCAGGTCAAAATACGTCCTGGAGTCCTGGGCTCTGCAAATTCTGGCCCTTTTCCCCGACGACTCTCTGCAGCATGTTGTTCAGGTCATTTGTTTCGTCATCTAAGCTCTTCAAGTATCGTTGGATGCATCGATACTCACCTCAATCAAAGCTTTGGAGGAAAAAATCGATACAGTAAAACAAAAATGAGCCTCATTGCAACTAAGCCACTTAGTTTGACTCGAAGTACATCTGTACTTGCAGTTTTTGTCACAATAGCTTCCTGGGACGAGGACAACTATCAGCGCAGATTTTCGACTGGCAACTTCTCAGGTTGGAAAGCAAGCCACAAACAATCTTAAATCGCGGGCCTTCATTCGTGGGTCACGGTCATAAGCTTCTGAGAAAAACCGGAGCAATTCCCGCAAGAACTTGGTGTAGCTCTTTCCCTGGCTTGCACAGGCCTTGCGATGATCTTTCAGAATTTGGGATTGTGCGAGATAGATTGCAACATACTTCCGAGCATCTGGACGATGACAGGATGACATGACAAACAATGTCTCTTTCAGGCCTTCAGAGCAGCAACCACCGTTGGGTGTAGCACGGCACTATGAAATTCAATAAGTAGTCCAGCGTGGCTAGGTGGGAGGTGTTTCAGCAACAAGAAGCGCACCCTGCTGGGCAACACTGTGAATGTCTGGTGCCGCATTGCCTGGATTGTTGACGTGACTGCAAAACAAATATGTGTTTCTTTGATCATCAATCCAAACCCTCTCGTACTCTTACAAAAACTCGCTGTATTCAGGGAAAGAGTTGAAGCCCGAGAACCATTTGGATAAAGTGTCTGCATCCAAAAGAAGACGAAGAGTGGCTAGAACCTTTAAAGGCCTTGTGCAGATTGTGCTCAGGTCTTCGCAAAAAGCACAAAGTTTAAAAAGAAAACTATAGGAAAAAGCAGGATCTGGAAATCTGAAGGTGTCCTCAGTGTTTTCCACATGTGCGTGTGAAGACCATCATGTCATTTCTCATCCCTTCAGGTCTTGTCTCGAGCTGTTTTAAGCCCGGAGGGTTAGCCGCAAGAGGAAGAGGTGGGTAGAGTAGCTATTAAGTAGGAAGCTTCTAGACACGCAGGATAGCTCACGCACTAATGATTGGTTCCTAGAGTTTTAGGGAAGCTTAACTGCACATCTGCAGGTCTTTCGCCTCTTGCCTCCTTTTTATGACCATTGGGCTGCCAAATGCGCGCAACACTACAGATCCCACTCCCATGACCTCCAGAATCAACATACTGCATAATAATATGTGCAAAGCGGCTTCCAAGGGCAACGTGAAGCCATAGGTCCGGTAGAGCTCAGAGATCGAAAGCTGGCTATATGTAAAAAACACCTCCTCACCCGCTTCAATATCTCGTGTTGCCGCCACCAACATGCCCCCCATACCATCGGGGGCGGGACGCGCAGAGGCTCGATTCGGATCATGATTGAAAGAGTCAAGACCAGGTACCAAAGTTGTGCGAGTCCCCTCCAAATCAAAAGCACGGGTGATCACCATCAGCCAGCCCCGAAGAAATTGCTCAACTGAAAAATCGATGGAAAAAGTGCTGGAAAGCGCATCATACCACTGCATGATTGTCCAAGACAAGTATTCAATCAAATCGGCCTCACAAGATGGAGACAGCAAAGACTTGAAGGCTGTTGGATCCTGCGCTGCAAGTCTGTAGGGGTGTTGGGCAAAAGTCTCGCAAAGCAGTACTTGCAAAAAGGCTCCCCATACCTTTTGCTTTGCCAAATCATGGATGGCAACCTTCCCAAATCTGGAGTCTTCAATGGCAGTAATCCAGCTTGCCAAAAACGTCGCTTGAAGGGCTAGGTCGATATTGTCTGAATCAAAAGACACTTGATGAGCTGCTTCAGCCACCATGATGGCGCACTCAGGAGCCAGTTCTCGCACTGCCATTGGTGAGAGAAGTAAGTCTGGTGGACACCTCACAAGCACCTCACCTTTGGAGATGCAATGATTTGTCACAATTCCAGGCACTGTAAGTCTATCAGTGCTGGCCCTTTCTATTTTCGGATTCCACATACCACCGCTCTCCTCTAGCAGTAGCTGCAATGTCTCGTGCCGTCGGTGGTCTTGCTGAGGTCCGACAGGAGCAAAGGTAACTGTTGGAAATGACAGAGATCGCAAGTGAAAATTCTGCGGTTTGCTTGAACTTACCAACAACGTGTCTCCGGGCTTTGCATTCTGCGGAACTGTGATCTCAAGCACCCTGTCACCTCGTGTATAAATGGTAGAAACACCTGGAATGGCATCAGCAGGAACCAATGCCCGAAGGTGTGCTGGCCGCTTGAAGACATGACAGCTCACCTGAACAGGATTCTTTTCCAAAGTCACCTCGACACTGTGACGAGGGGCTGCATCCTTAGGCAGCACCGTAGTGAAGATCCTACCCTGGCAATTGACTGCAACACGGGTGACACCAGGAACAGATCCAGGTGGAACCTGTACAGTGGCACGTTGAGATGCAGGAGACACCTGGCACAGGAAGAGCTGTAAATTTTCGTTCCTAGATTCTTGATCTGTCCAAGACAGTTTTGAAGGGATAGAGATTTTGGAACATCTGCGGCTTGGGGCCAATAACATTTCACACTTTATGATTTGCTATGAATGCTGAAGCAAAACCAAACTATAGCAATCTTCATTAGTGATGAGATTGTGACTAGACCAGGCTGCCCTGGCCTTCACCTCAATGGTTGCTCTCCAGCGGCGACAACAACGAAGCCGAGGAAAAGGGTGCCCAAAGCGGGATAAGTTCCCTCCCATCTCCAATTCAGGTCTTTCAAGCCATCTGCATTTCTGGACGTCGATTCCATCTCTGAATCTGACAATGTCCACGGCAAGTGCGCAACACGCATAGTGCATGTTAAAACCCATTAAATGTGTTGTCTATCGCAATTTTGACAGCGCATCTATGGTAAAATCCGCACACCCCGCCCAGATGTGGAATGGCACATCAGTCACATATAAATTACAGTAGCTGCAGAATAGCAGCTGAACACCTGCACCATAAGCAGTTTTAGTTTGGCAAAGGGCGCAACTGATTTCCATTGACTTCGTGTTCAGCATTGCGGCCTGTTGGTCTGTCCAGGGAAGGCTACTTGTACTGATTCAGCAACAATATGCTGAACACTTGCAACATGCCCCTAATTGAACGCTCGCAATCAATAACTGTAAACCACTCTGTAATCATGACAGTTAAGGCCCTTTGCCCTTTCGTTTCTGATGAGTTGTGAGTTGTGCAATGCTGAGGTGATATGAGGTGATCTTTACTGGACCGGCGTCATATTGCTGATTTTTTGCGATCCGATTGTAGACAAGCATGGCGAATCCAAATCTGATGTTGTGGCATGTGATGATTATCATGTGCTGTGGGGACATGTGTTGTGGTGGTTCTTCATATGTGGTGAAGTGTTCTCTTTCAAAAATGTTACCATTCTGCACTTGTTACTCAAATTCATCGCTGTTCTGCACTGTTCTGCAAAGGTCTCGGTTTACTTGTCGCTTCGTCCAGAAACTGCAATTGTATAACACCTTGCCATCGACTTTTTGGTTGTGATTTCTTCGTTTGAGAGATTCAGGCTTTGCTGTGTAATATTTTGTTTGAAAACTGTTTGCTCTTTTTTGGGGCTGCACACTCTTGATGGAACACTCACACTTGCACATCAGGCAGGTATCTTTTGCTCGGCTTGATACTTTGGCCGCGTGGATGGTCCTGGTTGAGGTCCGGCAGGGAACACTAGGCGTGGATAGTCATGGTTGAGGAGGACGCGGAGGAGAAGAAGAAGAAGAAGGAGATAGGGATGACGTAAAGTCCAACAACCCTCACCTGACAGGTGGGGAAAAACAAGGCCACTTCAAAAACTGTCAAGACTAGAGGGGCAAGCAGTGACAGCTCCGCTCAAGGTCGCGAGCATTCGAGCTGCTGGCAAGGGCAAATGGTGAAGTTCTTCACTCTAGATACAGTGAACCAAGTGGCGCGCAGGCCTTTCCAAACCCCCCTTTTTTTCCACGAGTGCGGACGCCATGTGGGCGGTGTGCCCAGGTCATCATAGAAGGAAAGGAGACACTGCCTATTGATGGGGGAACAAGCCAAGAACACAAAAACCAAACAAAACAACAAACCCAACACCCACCACAAAACAAACGCAAAAACCACCAACACGGACCCCCAAACAAAGTGGGCAGTGTTTCCTTTGTACTGGAAGTGAAACAGGTGAAAAAGGAGCTGCAAAATGTCTAAGGGCCTGAATTCACAACGAAAGGCGAAATGCTTTCTGGTCGTGGGCACTTACATAGATTGGCCAATAAAAGGTGGCCACACTCCATATGCAAGTGTGAGGTCATCCATGCCTCACTAAGCATAGTTTGACATCGTGCTAAGTGACAAGTGCACCTTATGCAGTTGTCAGATGACTATGGCCAAAGAGTCATCGGTTGCGAAGCACTGCAAGCCGTGGAAAATTCTCTCTCCGTGGCACAATCCATACAACTGATTGCACATACGAAAAGCAAGACTTATCTTGAGCATGAAAGTGGACGGCGTCGCAACGAAAGGACTGCTCACGACATGCTGATTGCCCTCCCGCAAGGGAGGCACAGCGCACTCCCAACAGCACCGATGCGAGAGCGTTCTAGGGGTTGTGCATTCTTCCATCAGATAGTGAGCAACTGAGATCACTATCCTTCACCATGCATGGCCCATGTGAAACAAGTGAAACAAATCCTGCATGGTACTTGTGCCATCTTTGTACAAGATCGGCTGTGGTTCGGCTCCAGCAGATGAGCAACTAAGGTTCTCCCTGGGTGCCATCCATCAACCGCACTGCTACCGCCCGCCCACCTTGGACGAAGAGCTAAGGGAGGATGACGAGTCAATCTACTTTGCGGGGGCTGACTCACTTTGAACAGTGGGGGAATGCGCCTTACGCTGCATCAGGCGCGTACCCACTGTCAGGGATCATGTGCCATCTCATGGCCGGACAAATGGCAAAAGCATTTTCTTCTGCATATATTCCTCTCCATTTATGCTGGCCTGGGAGCTTGACAAGCTTACGGAGTGCAGTGCAGTCCAGAAAAGCTCGGCTGGCAATGTAATGCAATGAGAGCGGTATGGCTAGTTCCGGCAGTGCAGCACAGTTCATGAAGGCTTTTACCCAGATGGTGTGGAGCGTATATGGTAGTCTGACTTCAACAAGGCCAGTGCAGTGCGCAAATGTAAATTCCTGTGTTTCTTCGATCTTTGCGTTTGAAAGGTCAACTTTCTTCAACAATTGACAGTTGTCACATGCATGCGCTCCCAGCGTTTGGAAGTCCCGCGTGAGCTCAAGCGAACGAATCCCTGTGGAAGTAAACGCTTCCTGACTGCATTCGAGCTGGCAATTCTTGTGGATGAGTGGCCTCTCGCAACATGAAGGTGGCCAAGTTGATGCAATCTCTAAAGAGATAGTGCCCAAGTTCAGTGGAACTACGAAATTGGGGTTCGCTTCTCCCTCAGCAGCACAGACCCACTGTAAGGAGCTGCATTCAGCAAAGGCCTTTCAGCCAAACTCCACGCAGCCAGGCGCCGTGACGCTGTTGAGTAAGTGGCACCCTCGAAAAGTGTTGTCTGCTGTTCTTATCACCGAGGTCGGCAGTCCAACTCCACACCAACAACCCTAATTCCTGCTTCAACGCCAACGCGTCACAGCTGTGAAGGTGCCCTCAGGGACCATCTCCTCTGAGACACCCTTCGAAGGTCTCCTTTGAGGGAAGGACTTCACTGCAGCTGCGAAACACCATGGTGTATTCAGTGCTTTGTTGCAATTTTTCCCAGATTGGATTTTCTGAGCAGGTGTGCGTTTCAGCTTGCAAGAAGTCGACTGTACATCCATTGAAGGCCAGCAAAACTGCCAGGCAAAGGGTGCCGCTCCCCGCATTGCAGACCTTTAGTGACCTTCCTAGGGAATAGCCGATGGCGAGACTTGCTATTTCCAGCAAGCAAATCAATCACCTCGTCCGTACGTTCCTTTGGAGGAGGGTGACAGAACAAGCACTCCATGGCTCCTCCTTTGTGGACATTCCAGATGAAATCAACCAGGACTTCTAGGGGGGATCTCCTCCGTTTCAGTGAAGCCTTTGCTGCTCTCCTATCCAACCTCTTTGCTTTTGTGAAGAGTGGGCATCCAGCATGTCCCTTCATCACGCACAAACAGCTCGCCCTCTGTGCAAACCCCCGATTCTGGCAATATGGTCTCCTGGCCTTCATTGCGAGGTGCTGTTCCTTTGATAATCAACATAGACAACAGGGTCCAGGTCCAGCAAATGGAGAGGAAGGAAAATCACAAACGACAAAGGAAAAAGATGTTGATGCCCTCACCTTTATGCGCACTGTCCTCATGTCCTTTGTTAGGGGAATGGAGCATGGGGAACAGACATTGCCCACCAATGACCTTTTCGTCTATCTACCAGTACAAATCCTGTCTGACCTGGTCGTAGCCATGGAACAGCAGGGCTTCACGCCTGCGGAAGTGAAAGGGAGTTATGGATATCGGCCAAAAGAAGAAGATGCTGAGGACAATTCCTTGCTTGTGGTGGGAGTGCACACCAAGGACATTGTTTATGACCAGTACCCCCGAATGCTGGACACGTCCTGGGCAGAAAGAGCCTACTTTAGTGGTGCTCTTGCCCCGTCTTTGGGACAAGCTTTCTCGTTTCCCTCTGCAGTTCAGGCTGCGTATCGAAGTCCCCTTGTGGCGAGACCTGACTACTGCCAAACACCCCAATGCAGACCTGCCTGCAGAAGAAGACTCTGCCTCTGACACTGCTGGGAAATGACACTAGGACTCCCAAAGTTGGCTCTTGACTCTCTGCAATCTTTTCGC